ACCAGCAGGTCTAGGGAGGGGATTGTCCCCCTCTATTCCACTCTCATGAGACCCCCCCCTGCAGTGCTGCATCCAGCTCTGGGGTCCTCAGCACAGGACAGACATGGACCTGTTGGAGTGGGACCATGACGATGGTCAGAGGGCTGGAGCACCTCCAGTATGAGGACAGGCTGAGAGAGCTGGGGTTGTTCAGCCTGGAGAAGGCTCCAGGGGGACCTTAGAGCAGCTTCCAGTGCTGAAAGGGGGCTACAGGAGAGATGGGGAGGGACTCTTCATCAGGGGGTGCAGGCATAGGATGAGAGGTAATGGTTTTAAGCTGAAAGAGGGGAGATTTAGATTAGATATTAGGAAGGAATGTTTTCCTGTGCAGGTGGTGAGGCAGTGGCCCACGTTGCCCAGAGAAGCTGTGGATGCCCCATCCCTGGAGGGGTTCAAGGCCAGGCTGGATGAGGCTTTGAGCAACCTGGGCTAGTGGGAGGTGTCCCTGCCCATGGCAGGGGGGTTGCAACTCGATGATCTTTAAGGTCCCTTCCCACCCAAACCATTCTACAATTCTATGTTTCTATGAAATGAATGCAGTGGTAGAATAAAATATATCATTTATAGACACATTTGAAAAGAAGGCTATGGCTTGAAATTCAGAAAAGACATTGACAGTCCTTGTTGGCCTGCTGCCCTAGAATTACTTTCAGATCCACTTGCAATTTAAGCTTCTTTCAAGATGAAAACATGTCCACAACTTGTACAATACTAAGGGGTGTTTCATGTCAGAATATTATTCTTAGATTAAACATCACTCTGAATGTCATAGGATAGCAACACAAATAAGAAATAGGAGAAAGCAATAAAAGAAATAGTGTTGAAGTAAAAATGGTATTTTAAACTATGCTTGCCTTGATCCGACACTGACTCCCTGACTGATTTTCTTCAATCTGACTTTCTCTAGGCAAAACAAATGGCAGGGGACCCCATTCAGCAGACAGGGGCTGTGGCATGCATGCAGTACAGCTGGTCAGAACTGGCAATACTGGGCTTCAGGGCTCTCGTGTGTGTGTTAGCCAACCAGCCAGGAAACAGATTTTTGGTAGGACATATGAATCCGGGGTTCTGATCTGTAGGAAGATGGAGAGAATGCTGCCCATGGCTTCTGGCACTACTTATGACAATAATGCAGTTCCATTGCAGGCTTCATCCTAGGAACCAGACTGACTTATTTCCTCTGTCATGTACAAGCCCAGGAACTCAAAGCTGTCATCCTTCTCAACAATAGGTTTGGCCCTGAGCATGAAAGAACTCTATCCAATGGTTAACATATTGTTCATGCTGGAAATAGATGGGCAGCACAGGGGGTACCACCTGCTATTAAATCTTATCTTCTTGATAGAACAAGGACAGCTGCTAGTGTTGGCTCTTACACAGTAGAAGAAGAGGAAGAGGAGGAAAGAATAAGCTTCTAATATCTCTAGTGTTTGCATTCAGTGCATAATTGGTTTTCTTGACCAGCAGCCAGCACTGACGCTATGCTATTCTGTAGGAGCTGTTCTTCTGATGAATGATACTCCACTGACTTTGGAAGGTAGTGCTTTCTCTACTAAGAAGATTGTTAACTCTGTCCAGTTTGCTGGCCTGCCTTTGGCAGTGGATGAGGAACATGATTTTCAAAGGAGAAAAATGTACATTTGGTACAAAAATTATTGAAAGCTGGAGAGTTTGTGTTAGAGAGAATGACTGTAAGACAAGCAGGTTAATAAAGTTTGAGCTTTATTGTGTGACAAGAGAGGGGAGAAGGAAACAGGAGAGAATATGCTGTTGCTTGCAAGGTGAAGTCAAGAAAAGAAAGGCAACTTATATGTGTAGGTAAATAAATATACAAGTCATGTCAAAGGAACATAAGGATATGGTTCTACTTAATGAAATTTCTGAAAACAGAAATTAGATCTAAATTCAGGATAGCAGTTACTAGTACCCAGAAAGTGTTTGTGAAAGCCTCACTCAACATTCTAGAAATAACATAACTCTGAACTCCAGCCCAGATTTCCCTGCTCCTAAACTTGCTCTTATAAACGCAGTTACTTCTGAAGTCTGACATCTTTACTCAGGTTTCCTGTTGGAGAAGCTGTTAGTCACTTCTTGCTTGTCCGCACGTAGGTATCGCTGCTCCCACAGCCAGGCAGCTCTCTTTTGGGGTCCTGTGTCCCTCATCAGAGGTTATGGTTGCGCTTGTCTCTCCCAGAGGGTTTAGGTCTTCATCTCTCCATATTCCAAAAGACTTCAGGAAAATATGAAGGCTGGTTTGTAAGTTCTTTAAAAGCTTCAGCTCAGTCTGTGGCAGGGTTATAAAACTGTTGTATTTTTTAGAAAAAATCACCTTCCATATTCTCCTCTCTCTGTTTCCTCCTCGTTACTAGTTTTCCTCTTTCAGGAAATCATTTGCCACTTTTGGAGAAGAGGTACAAGATGTATCATCTAATACCACAGTTCACAAAGAAAGACAAAAGAAGGCAATCAGCTTAGCCCAAGGTTAAGAGGAGATTCAGACAAGAGCCCTAATTCATTACCTAGAACGTACCTAATATTTAGAAAAAAATTGAGTCTGCCTAACATGGATTAAAAGTTGGCAATGTTCAAACTGAAAATAAAATGCACTCCCTGTAGTTAAACACTACAACAGATTGTTGGGGAAATTCTGAGAAATCTTCACCATCAGCTTTTAAGTCGGGATGAGATGTTTCTTCTTCAGTCACAGACTTGCTGACATAGGCAGCAAGAGCCATTTGGTGATAGTCCTTTACCTGCATTAAAAAAGGGGCCAGAGGAGGCGATTACAGTGGTCTTCTCTGTCCTTAAAAGCTCTGACAATGAAAATTGAATGAAGGGTAGCAGCAAACTAGCTTTTGTAAGAATTGCAAGTTTTCTGTTATTCTTCTTTTGAACTTTAGTTTTGATTCAAAAAATTAGTCAGCAAGTTTAGAAGAAAAGATTTCATCAAAGTATAAAATGAATATTTTACATTATAAAGCTTGTATTATTTTCTTGCTGTCAAAACAATTCTGTCTTTATTGTCTGTTCAGGAACTACAATTGACATATATTTTCTCTTGTATTCAAATGAAAAAAAAAAACAAACCCTCTCAAATATGCCCAGAAAGCACAGAACATAAATAAAACCCCATTTTTCTTATTTCTTTTTTTCATTCACTTGAAAAATATGTTTACAGTGCATGGTAATTCACTGGTTTTAGTGCCTGCATTAATGTGGTCAATATTCCCAATGAATAATTTTTCAATTTAGAGACAAAAAATGTTCGTGTGTAATTTTTCTCATCTCTTTCTAGAAACACGCAGTAGTTCTATAAAGGCTGAAAAAAAAGAGGTTATTGGTTTTATAGCTTCTTAAAAGGAAGGTAAATTTGTGAGCGAAATCTTTAAATACTGACAACTAAACTGAAAAAACCCCACACCTATCAAATAGCGATTTCCAAATACTAATTTAGACACATTGGTGATGTGCAGCGTCTTTAAGAAACTGTGAGGATCTGTTTAGTCTCACTAGTAAATTCCATTAATTTTCAGGTAAATTACATAAAGCTCTTTCTACTATAATTCTTCTGATTTGTTTTTGATTAAAAAAAATGGCATTTGCAAGAATGTGTCTGAAAACAAAGACAGTTCATAGGAGCTACATCAAATTGTCACCTATTAAGTGTGTAAATCTAAGCCAGACTGGAGATAAAACAGTTTGGATCTGCAAGAGAAATAAGACAATGCTGGAAAGCAGAAGCACCATACAAGAATGTATTTATCTGGGTTCCACTAATAGTTGTGGACTTAAAAGTACTAAAAAATATTGATTAGGTATTACGTAGCTCATCCTAGTCATTCAGCTGCAGGCAGCTGCTTTGTTTCAGATAAACCCTCCAATGTTATTTGCTCTCTGCATCCTTGCTTTTTGCCTTCCGTGTTAATTTTGTAAATGAATGTTGTACTGTATTTAGCTGGGATCTCCAGTAGGATCTTTCAAGCTCTCTAAAAAATCCTAATTGACATAAAAAAAATCTTAATTGACATAGCTATACGAATGACTCGACAAAGTGGGAGGTAAACCACACTTCACAGGTTGCCTTGCACTTAATTCTCACGGTATTTGAGCCTGTAACTAAAACAGCTGTGGATGTACCTTGCAAAAGCAAAGTTACTGCAAATGCTGTGTCTCTTGGATAGATTTTGAGGACAATGAGTCATTCTACTAATAACGCTATCTGGTATCTTAATTGGTAACTAAATGAATAAAAGATGTGTTTATTGCTGTGTAATTGACTTGTTTGTTTTCCCTCCTATCATTGATTTATTTTGGAGAGGGGAAGGGAACAAGTCTTTGAGTTAATTTATATCCCTCCTAAAACTGAAAGGTTATCTGTTTTTAGGAATTGGACCTGTTGTCTGTGCATTTCCTTAAAATGGAGGCGTAAATACAGAAAACTGGAAATATCATAATAAGGTCAAATGTGGTGGGATAGTGTTTCTCTGAATTGTTCAAATTAACCAGCTGTTTACCTAAGTGACTTATAATCCAAAAGCAAAGAACGTGGCCTCTTTCTTGAAATGTTTTTAAAATTTGCCTTGTGCTGATCAAACACTTGCTACACTAGGTCCAAATTTTGGGGAATTATTCATTTAGTTTCAGTTTCTAGTAAATCTGGTTGCTCCAGGACTGCATTCATATCAGAGGCTAAACACAAACAATAGGAAAAGCAGGATCCTAGGTAGCTTATTTTTTATTTATTTTTTTCCGGACAATGATTTTATTATGGAGTACTGTCTCCACTTCTAATAAATAACACTCGTTTCTTGTCCTATGCCTATAGCACACGACAGAGCATCACTGTCAAGGTCAATACCCAGTTAGTCGCCCCCAGCTAGTCAACAGAGCAGAGTAGTTTGCAAATGAAGAACATTTGTCTGAATGACATATTTCTGAATGAGAATTGCTTTGTTTTGCAGAGAATTTGGCCGCTGGAAAGTAAACAACCTCGCTGTTGAAAGAAGAAATTTCCTTGGCTCCCCACTGCCACTTGCCCCTGAATTCTTCCGTAACATAAGGCTACTCGGACGCCGCCCAACCCTTCAACAGATCACAGAAAACCTTATAAAGAAATATGGGACACATTTCCTACTATCAGCTACCTTGGGAGGTAGGCTTAACACGTGGAAATATTGTGCGTGAGTTCGGCGGGACTGAACTAAAATTGTGGGTTTCTCGGTAAAACTGCAGTATGCCCTTCTTTGCTTTATTGATTCAGTGACAATAATTTCAGGGACAAAAATATAAGAAATCCCGTTGCTAAGACTGAGGTACTTTTACCAAATTCCTGGTGTACATGCTCCTGGTCTGTGAAGATGTGTCTCTGCACTAAGAGGTCATTAAGGAGAGTGACTTTTTTTTTTTTTTTTGTTAGAGGTCCTTAAAACTATTTACTTAATAACAGATTACACGGGTATCTGGATCCATTACAGTACTGCAGAGATGAAACACAAAAACCAGTAACTTTTCCAACAAATCTTTTCAGCTAAGAGACTTTAAACTACTTTGACAGATGGGAAGTCCCTATATTGTCACCTACCTTTTTTAGAAATAGCCTTCGCTTAACCAGTGGGACTAAAAGTTTCCAAATGGTATGACAAGGCTTTGCCATGTGATTCCTATTAACTTAATGGAATCTGCATCTCTAAATCCCCACAGACTAATTTGGAAGAGGTGGCCTGATGTATAATTGGGATCCAGTCACCAAATGGATTGAAGAAATCCAGTGAAGAGGCCTAATGTTCAAGAGAAAGCATAAATTGTTCTGAATGAAAGATAATTAGTGCCTGCAATTACCCATCTAGGCATCGCAAAATGAACTGACATTTTAGAAATGCAGTTTTATCCTTTGGTGGGTGATTATATTAAAGATAATTCTGGTGATTGAGTATCCTTCCAGCAGGACAGTCTTGTCAAAATCCTTTATTCACCTGAGGAATGGTTCTCTTTAATACATTTCATAACTGAATTCTAACCATATATTAAGTAAATGACAGCTTTCTTATTCTCTTTTGGCTGATATCTGAGATCTATGACAACTGAAATGGCTCACAGTTGCTCCCTTTTGGAAAAGGCCATTCTAGAAACAAGGTGAACTTCTGTCTTACTGTGGTTATTAAAAAAAATAAAAAACTAATTCCTATAATTATTTTGGGAACTAGTGCTTCTACAGCAAATCCATCACCATTAGAATTTTAAGAACAAATGTGTTGACCAGTAATTTGGAATAAAATTCCCAGAATTTCTTTTAATTATTCAGCACATTTCTTCCATGCAAAAAATACACTTTTTAATTACGATGTATTTTCTTGTGTATACAGCACATAACACATCTGAACAGTAAAACTAACTGTAGAAGAGAAAGACAATGTTTCTCAATATATAAAGCGTAATACTTAAAGATTTGGCTGCAGCATGTATCTTGATGCAAGGTTTATCCAACAGTAAAAATTCTTTTTGGTATTATTAGCTAATTATTAACTAGCATAACCTTCAGTATTAACAGCCATATGATGAAATTCATTTTCAGGTTGAAATTGGAGCTAACAACTTGGAGAAAACAGTCTAACACAAACATAGCTGCTCTTAAAAAGTGCAAAGCATCAGTATCACACCAATCACAAAAGATTTATAGATTTGACACCTTTTACAAAGCATGGCCCTAAGGAAAACCAAAAACTTCAGGGTAGTTCTTTTGAAGATATCTGAAAAAATTGTAGCTTAAATATTCAGTATTCTCCCCAAAGCATGAGGAGCCAATGGCATCCTGGGGTGTATCAGAAAGGGGGTGGTCAGTAGGTCAAGAGAGGTTCTCCTCCCCCTCTACTCTGCCCTGGTGAGACCGCATCTGGAATATTGTGTCCAGTTCTGGGCCCCTCAGTTCAAGAGGGACAGGGAACTGCTGGAGAGAGTCCAGCGCAGAGCCACAAAGATGATGAAGGGAATGGAGCATCTCCCTGCTGAGGAAAGGCTGAGGGAGCTGGGTCTCTTTAGCCTGGAAAAGAGGAGACTGAGGGGTGACCTAATTAATGTTTATAAATACGTGAAGGGAGGATGGAGCCAGGCTCTTCTCTGTGACATCCAGTGACAGGACAAGGGGCAATGGGTTCAAGCTGGAACACAGGAGGTTCCACTTGAATATGAGGAAAAACTTCTTTACAGTGAGGGTGACAGAGCACTGGAACAGGCTGCCCAGAGAGGCTGTGGAGTCTCCTTCTCTGGAGACATTCAAAGCCCGCCTGGATGCGTTCCTGTGTGATCTGATCTGGGTGTTCCTGCTCCGGCAGGGGGATTGGACTAGATGATCTTTCGAGGTCCCTTCCAATCTCTAACATTCTGTGATTCTGTGATTCTGTGATTTGCTAGAGAGAAACTGGGATAGGGTACCCTTTGCTAATCCCTCTCCAGACCACCTCACAAAGTCCCTAAAATGCAGTAACTGCCACATACTTGCAAAAATTTTCCACTCGTAGCGAAATGGTGTTGACTTCTGGGCTCTGTCAATGCATTATAAAGCCAAAAGGAGTTTCTGTATTAATTTTGATGGGTTTTGATTTAGGTCCCTAGCTTCAATTTTTAGGCATGATTTCAGGCACACCTGCTCCCTTCATTTTCATTGGATGGGTGCTGAATATTTCAAAAAATTGGTTCAATTAAAATAATTGTGGGGAATTAGTCATTTCTAAGAATGCTTTCATGAGGTAGCTAATAACCCTATACTTTCCTGTATGTGTTAGTTCTCATTTTTGGGCTAGATCGAATGGGGATTCCCAGAGATGCTTGTCCACACTTTATTAACATGTAATTAGATTTTTTTCTTTCAGTAATGTATTCCTACTTTCCCTTTAATTACAAGGTTTTTTTATTCTGAAAGCTTTGTAATTTACATAGCTTTTTAAAAGCAAAAGACCAAACCGAGTGTGTGTAGTACTTTTATTTAATGAATCCCCAATCATCTGTATTCATGGGCATAAAGGAAAGCTTGGCAAACGAACAGCCTTGTGGTAAGATTTATGTGCCTCTGTGACCATTTGGCTTGCATGAATATCCCTTTTTGACTATAAAGGGAACTCTTACACATCGTTGTTTGTGATACGTTCCCAAGTCTTTATTCACAAACACAGAAATATACTCCTTGAGGGCCTTCTGAAATGAGAACTTAGGGAAGTTCGATTTTTTTCTTCCTCATTCTTACAAGAGAATGTGGAAAATGACATTTCTCACTGCTTCTAATTCTTATGGAAATTTTATCCTCTTGTGACATAAGTCACATGTCCATAATGAGAAAGCTGCCTGACAGAAAGGACCCCATGTAATCCCCTATGTTTGCACAACAAGCGCTGGATTGGGCAGTGGGATCACGGGTGAGCTCCTGAGCCTGTCCTCCCTCTGCATTGACTGTCTGCGGCGTCAAGTCTTCAGAGAAAGGAGAGCTGTGGCTGCTGGTTTTTGTTAAATTTTGTGTGCTCATGGGGTGCTGTGCTAGGCCGGGCCATCGCTAGGGGGTGATGAGGTTTCCCCCACTCCCCTAGGACAACACATATCCTGTTTACATTAGCAAAATTGTAAATTGACACACCCCAGCCAACACTGACCGGAACAGCTTTACGGGGAAGACATGAGAGGACTTGGACAAGGGAATTCTGTCCTTGAAGATGAGAGAGGACTCTACAGGAGAAGTCCCCAAGCATCTCATTTAATTAGACTTGCTTAGAGCAGGGGATTGGACTAGATGAAGTCTCTTCAAGCCTAAATTATTTTCTGACTTTGTGAAAGCAAGTTATTTCTAAATTCTTTATCAGCTTTCAACTAGCAGTTCAAAAAGCAGAGATTCTCCTTTGAAGGAGAGACAATACACGGCATTATTTTTTCTCCTTTTGTTCTGCATTTATACTTTTCTCTTTTCCTTGCATACAACATGATGCAAGGAAGGCCCACCTTGCTGAATATACAAGAGTATTAGCTGCTGTACGCTTTAATGGTTTACAAAAAACAGCGTGCAGCAGTGAGATTCAGAACCGGAAGTTCTTGTGAGGCCTGGGGCACTGCTGTGAAATAAGTGTCGGAGGATGAAAATATCAGTGGGTCCCACTGTAAAAGGCATTTATTTTAAAGCTCTTCAGCTCTTCTTGCATATGTAAAGGCTGCTCAGCAAACCAATAGACTTGGTGGTGAGGAAAGTAGACGTAACTAATGTACTACAATGAAGAGACAGGCCCTTGTTCCAGGCATTTGCGCGAGGTGAGTCCGATGCAGGTGCTTTGCGAGGTGAAGATGGTGGACTTTGCAAACCAGTCCTCCTTGCATCTGGAAGCGTGGTCAGTGTTCTGAATAAACACATTTACAGGAGGTTGCAAGGGCTTCTTGTGGAACTAAAAGCCTTTTAGGCAATCGGCTAAATGGTAATCTCAAACGTTTGAGGCTGATTTATTTTTTGCTGTTATTGTCCGTCATAATTGCTCAAAGTGTTAATTACCAGACCATCAATGCATTCACCTCTCTGGGTCAGGAAATATCCCTTGATAACGTTGAAGGCTTTGAGAATCCAAAGGAAAAAAAAAAGGTAGTTTTGCCTTTACAGCAGACAGTCTTAACGGGCATAAGCAGTTTAACCCTAACCTCTTGCCATTCTCCTCTCCACTGATTACAGTTCTGCAAATGTGTTTCCTAGTTACACCTTTGCTACTGTACACGCTGAATAAAGGGGGACAGATTTTCTGCCCCTGATTAATATTCCTCTTGAGCAGTATATTACTCTTGTACAGAGATGGGAGAAATTGTCAGGCGGTGTAAGCCAGTGAATGTCAATGAATTCTGAAGGATTTATGATCATTTACACTAACTACAGATATGACCTTTGTTTTCTATGACACTTCTTTCAAGGGAAGATACAAAGCATTGGCAAATAGGGGAGGGAGAGTCCAGTCCTAAATGACTGATGTGGGAAAGAAACTTGAAAATTTAGCATCAGACTTGTAAATGCAATCCCCCAGGCATGTAAATTTTCAAACATTTAATATTGTGGACACTAAGGGGAAGAAAGAAATTCAAAAATGTATTGTTTTTCTTCTCTCTCTCCATCTACTCAATGAAGACGAACTTCAAATCCTA